CCCCCCGCTCCCCCCCCCGCCACCCCCTCCCTGTGCCTCTCAAAGCCACCATAATAGCAGCTTGTTTGGCACTTCACTTGGTCTCAATGAGAAAATTCCCCCCTCTCCCTCTTTTTGCCTTCGTTATTTCCAAACCCTGCAATAGCTCCTTTGCTCAGGGCTGCGGGAAGTGCCCATTTTTCAACATTTTTCTTTGGCTTATGTTTGTCATCCTCTGAATTACCGCACCGGGGAGTCCAGTCAGCCCGACACCAGGCCCTGCTATTCACGCCTCTCCTGCTCCTTAAGATCATGTAGGGAGAAATTAGTTATTTATTTCAAGCACCACTGCAATACACTTCTCCTCAGAAGTGTTTGTTTTGATCCCCTGCTGGAAAAGGAGGCTCCGCAGGGAGCGCCGGCAGCACCGGGTCCGGCAGGAGATGCGGTGAGGACAGGGCAGGGTGTGGGAGGCCAGGGGGCTCCTGGGAGAGGTGTGAGTGTGGAGACCCCCAGCGAACACGTGGCTTGCAAGAGGGGTCCCCACCACGCTGAGATGTTTCTCCAAGGCTTCTCCTGGAGCAGCTGCTCTCTGCGGGTCCTGAGAGATTCCAGGTGGTGTTGTCCCATCAGGAAACCTGGTTGTCCATGGTTTTAGCCCTAGGTCAGACGTGCCATGGTGAGATGGATCCCAAGACCACATGGCGCCGGGGGAGCGTCCCATCCCAAGGTGGCCATGACTACTCCAGGGAGCACAACCCAGGAGGCTCTGCTAAGTGCTGAAAGATTGGGCAGATTCGGTGGCTGGAGGAAGGAACCCTCCTCCAGCCCACGGTCACCAGACATGGTCCCCAGTCCCACTCACCAGGCACTATCCTGCCCACCCTGGCCCCCTTCGTGGAGCGGTGCCAGCCCTGCCTGGGCAGCCAGGCTTTTGGGCAAGGGCAGTGCAAACCAGGAAACATTCCCCAGCTTGGAGAGTCCCAGGTGGTGGGAGCTGGGAAGGACATTGCCTGTCCTTGGAGGTCATAACCCACCTCCCCTTCTCCCCGTGCCAGGGTCAGGAGTCAGCGAGCCCTGCTGCTGAGCCCACCGGTGCCGCTGCGGACAGGGCTGGCATCGCCGCAGCTCCACGGATGCTGCCAATGCCCCCGAGCCCCCTGCAGATGTGCTGCAGGCAGGCTGCCGGGGAAGGGGCCCAGGGAGCTGCAGCTTTAAAGAAAGAAGAGGAGCAGCGGGAGGAAGAAAATGCAAAATTGGCCCAGTGGGTAGACCTGCTATTTAAGTGCAGTTGAGAAGCGAGCGGGAGGAATTACAGGAGAAATGATAGTGCCCTGACAGCTGCCATTTCCCACCGCCAGTCTCCCCTAATGGAGTCCTAATGTAGTGGTGGGCTCTTCGCTGACAGCCCAGCCCGAGACAGGGCTCGTCTTTGTGCTGGTGACAGATGGGACAGTCCGGCAACAAACCTGTAATCCTCTGATTTCTGCTGCTGGCTCAGCTTAACCCCTTCTTCCCCCGGCACCCACTTGCTACCCAGGTGTGTGGCCAGTGTGGGGTCCAACCTGCCCCCGGGGTCCCCCATCGGCCCGCTCCAGCATGCCGGGTCTGGCAGCAAAGCAAGATGCTGGGAAGAGGAGGCAGCTGCCTGCAGCTCCCTCCGCATCACTCGGCTGCTGTTGGCCAGGGCAGCATGGAAGAGGCCAGCCTGGTCACCAAACCGAGCTGGAGCAGGCAGCAGCACGGCTCCCTGTGGGGAAAGCAAAAAGCCAGACCCTGCTCTGGCCGGGTTCCCTGTGCCACTCTGCCTGCACGGCATTTGGGCAGGCAGGTGAGCGCAGGCAGGTGAGCGCAGGCAGGTGAGCGCAGGCAGGTGAGCGCTGCGGCACGGT